AATCTTACCCCGCCTCGTCATTATGACCCTCTTTATTACCTGAGTCAGCGAGCTTGATCTGAGAGCTTCGGGAAAAAAGCTTTTTGGCTAAGCAAAACAAAAATTAGAAGAAAAACAAATTTCGTTCGATCAATTGCAAAAATATTTACCCAAAAAAATTAAATGCAAAAGCGTTTTCTCGGGATTTATTTGGATTAATTGACAGTTTTTCAGTTGACAAATTAAGTGAATTAAGATCTGTGACAGGCCAATCAGTGCAATTCGTTGGAAGAAAAAGTGAGTGAGATAATTGGAAACATTCAAACAGAGATTCAGATGCTGTTGCTCATACATTGTACACTGAGCGGAAAAGGGTAATCCAGACACCTGTTTATCAATGTGAAAATTAGCTGTGTATTATCGATCTATTAATTAGATCGAAATTAACAGCTCTGATATAGTCCGGCGACAGCTGTTCTCGTGCCCATCGAAAGATTCGATTAAGGGAACTCCATCTCTGACATATTTGTTTACTTTTAGATATGGACATGCTGTCTGCCCCCTTTTTTATTCTTTTTTTAAGAGTGCCTCGATGGGTATTTGATAAAATAACAGAATGACTTCATTAAATAGAATAGGTATAGGTCATTATATGTATAGTTAACAATTTGAAAACTATTCAGGAAGTAACTGGGGCAGTAATTTAGACAATTATGAAAATAAAAAACAATTTGTATCCGAAATACTATGTTTAATAAGCAAAATAAGTAATATATTATAATGGAGTTCAAGGTATTACAAATGATTTATTTAAGTAAGTAAAATATATTTTTACTAAATATTTTATAAGTGATTTTATCACGGATTTACTAAATAATTTCATTTAAATATTATTTTTTAAATTATTTGACAAAGAAACAATAGAAACCAACCAAACATATACTATAACTTGCTGGTCAGTATTTAATGGTCTGGAAAGTTATCTTTTTTTTGTATAAATATTTATTATTGCTTAATGTTTCAGTTAAGTAAGGTTTACTGTATTTATATCGTGTGTAAACAGTTTACCCTGATCAAATCTGGATTTGTTTTGGGTCTGCTCATCGTCTGTGTTTGTCTGAGCATGTTTTTGGAGCATGTTCTCCGGTTCCCAGACAACGTGATTCACTTTGGCAGTCAACTTCTACAAGTGGCACTAACCTAGGAATTATCTTGGCCAATTGACGATATGTTAGAGAGTTTGCCCTGATTTTGTTTTTTTTTAATATCAACATCAAAGTTATCATATATAGTTCTCGAAATAAAATATCTATTACTGGAAATTTTCTCTTGCTGGAAAAGTCTTTGCCAATGGAATATTTTGTAATGAAATGTTGATAAGGAGTTGGATAAGTATTTACTTGACTTGACTGACCAACAAAATCATAAAACCCCCATTGGGATATTTAATTATCGAAGCAATAATCTATATTAAAATGTTTATATGTTCGAAATTTTGAATAAGAAAAATAGCCCAAAGTCTTTAAAAGTCAATAAACAAAATCTAATATAATATATACAATTAAATATTTATTGTATTTGTTTGCTTATGATAAATAATTAATTAATTCAACAACTATTATAGTAATAATTGTTGTATACTATTATAATAATGATTGTATATATTTTAAATTATAACTATACATATAAATTATTATTTTAAAGCATGCGAATTATTTTTTATTTGTATGACACTAAAGGTAGTATTCGATTTATAAATCTTTTAAAACATTGTGTGGCATATTTTATTCATTTACTTTTAGGTATGTAAAATAAATAATATTATTATTATTAAATTCTAGCAAATTTAATTAATTTAATAATCTTCTTCGAATACATTATTTCCCTTTATTTCAAAGAAATTTAATTAAGAACTATTTATAGCCTAGATAATATACAACATAATTTAAGCATTATTCTTATTCCCCATTTATATTAACCCCTATAATAAAATACCCTAACTTAATCCTATATCGTCTGAAACTCCCCCCCCCACTAATTTCTCCTCTTTAACCCCCCCTCCGTTTTCGTGGCTTTCGCGTGTCGCGCTCATGCTGTGAATATTTTTAGTCACTCTCTGCGCCGTCGCCTAATCAATTCCGCTGCATGTAGCAAATATTTGTGCCCCCGAAATCGCGTTGACAGCGCACTGGGGTCGAACAGGGGTTAAGGGGGTGGAAAACCACCCACTGGGACACGCTTATCGTCACGTCAAAGGGATTTGGCGAGGACGAGAGCAAGGACATAACCGGATTTGCATTCTCATTGCTAATTAACAAGGGAGAGACGGGGGTAATAATGTCTCTGCCTTGTGGGTGGAATTTATGGATTTCGGTTTTTTTGTTTTATGACCCTCGAATTTGAACTTAACGATCGATGGCGGTGGCAGGGGAGGTGGAGGCAATGCACGCACCGTCCACGAAGGCAACGCATGATGCACTGAATCAGAGCATCTGGATGGCATTGCCTTTGTTCGTCAAACAAAAAAAAACCTGGAGGTGACAATGTTTGAGGAAATCACCCACGAACGGAACATTATAAAACTGCAGCCACTGGAGGAGCAACAAGTCAGATTCATCAGGGATAGGTTTCGAGATAGTCACTCCTAGAGAGCACACTCATCCAACGTTTAAAGGTGAATTAATTGATCTTCAGAGATTGTCATGAGCAAGTGATAATTACCGGGAGAGATTGTGAGAGTTAGATTTCTTATCTGCAAACTATCATTATCTCTCTGAGCGCCTTTAAAGCGAGTCTCAGTTGGGAGAAATCGCACAGTTTGAATCGAGGCACTGAGACATCAACAACACACACTGATAAGAGAACTTCGAACGCGGAACTAATCCTCTTCTTACTCATTCAATTTCCAGTGAAAACTATAGTATTTATTTGGTTTTGCCTGCTGAGCGGTATAAGAAGTAACTCAGAGTTAGAGAAAATGCCGGAAAAACAAGTGGCACCTGTTATTAATAACCTGGAGGAATTCCAGCAGAATCTTCCCGGGTAAGTCTCAATTATTAAACGGAAGTCTGACCTTGTCAGTGTGTCATGTAATAAGCAAATTACTGATAAGCGAAAAGCTTCTATATAGCTCTCAGTATTACCTTACTTAACAGATTATCATTTGAAAATTTTAATATAACTTTTTGGGCTTTAAAATATAATATTCCCTTACCCTTTTCAGTTATCTCAACACCAGCAACAAGGTAGCTGTGCTCCTGGATTACGATGGAACTCTGGCTCCTATTGCTGATAATCCTTCCAAGACCAAAATGCCTGTGGAACTGGAAGCCATTCTCCGGAAAATAGCCAAGCATCCCGAAGTCTTCTTAGCTGTTATCTCCGGACGTGGCCTAAAAGATGTCCAGAAACAGGTGAACATCGAAGGCATTACATATGCAGGCAATCATGGTCTGGAAATTGAGTATCCCGATGGCTCCAGACACGACTACGAACTACCCACAGAGATCCAGAAGAATTACACCAATATGGTTAAGGAACTCAAAGAAAAGGTGGAAAAGAATGGAGCTTGGGTTGAGGATAAGCGAGTCTCTCTCACCTATCACTACAGAGATACTCCTGTGGAACTCAAGGATGAGCAGAAGGTATTGGCGGCAGAGATTTGTAAAAAGTATGGCTTTAGGCCAAATCAGGCTCATGAAGCTATAGAAGCTAAGCCTCCAGTAAACTGGAACAAAGGAGAGGCAGCTCTGTATATCCTGAAACAAAAATTCGGTGAGAATTGGGCACAGGAAGTGAGTGTGGTCTTTGCTGGAGATGATACCACCGATGAAGATGCCATGAGGGTGAGTCTTGTTTATAATTTAAACTGAAAATTATATTTATAATTAATATATTTAAATATCAAATTTATTTAACATAATTTTATATGTATATTTCATTTATTTTTACAGGTTCTCAGAGGCTTGGGTCGCTCTTTTAGAATTGCTTCGGATGCTCAGATCCAGACTTTTGCCGATTTCCGTTTGCCCAAACAGGCTGTGATGACTGATCTACTAAAATGGATAGCTGGAGTTTATGTATCCTAATTTTAAGAATTTTGTATGCCTGATTTAAACTTTATTTTAACTAAAAAAATATTGATCGAAGTGCTATATTTAATTAAGAGATACTAAAGCAATTGTATGTGTGTAGATAGTTACAATTAAAATATAAAATAACAAACAATAAATGATTAGATATTATTTACAAAATATCTCTTACTATCTACCGTTATAAATTATATTATATTCAGTTAAAATTCTTATATTTAGAGAACCAGGTCAAGATTAATTTGGTTAACACAATTTGAATAATCCGGTAAATAAATATTGTTGTTGATTCCAAGAGTGTCCGATACAAAACTGTTCATTAATCTTTTCGCAGACACATCCAGAGCAATCGCTCTTCGTTTGAAGATCAAAAGGAAACAAATACATAATTTAAAAGGAAATGTTATGCAAAGAACATTTATTCAATAAAAAGATTTTCCGTTTCTTTAATCCACAAATATTGAAGATAATTAAGCAGCAAATACAACTTAATAAAACTTAGTATAAACTAAAGAAAAACAAACTAATTTGATAGTCACAAAGTGTGTCATGTAGAAGAGGGAAGGCAAAGGCACTTCCAAAACAAAAACGACCTCAAACAAAGGTGCATCAAAGACATCGTCACCATATATATATATATACTCTAGACTATATGCTCCCCCAACCCCCAAGAAAACCAAAAATCGTGAGTATATAGTCCCCGTATATATACATCCCTCTAAATACAACCAAAGATCCATTATAGAATGTGTTTTTTTATGCGCATATGCCTCATAAATATTGTGGGAATTACTTGGCCAACGTACGGTGGCCAGAGTTGCCACCAACAACAGAGAGGAAAACTAAAGAGAATGAATCGAAATGAGAGGAAAATCGGATCGTGGATACTTATAGATCACAGGCGATGTGTGGCTGCTGAGGATCGTTGGTCATTAGTATTAAATCGGTCGAGGAACGTCCAGCACGGCGCGCAATATCCGGTAGATACAATTTAAATCCGTCAGATACATATATATATATAGAGCAAAATGGCTGAGCAGAAGAAGGCCCCGCTGCTGAAGAAGGAGGAGGACTATGTCAAGGCCCTCGAGGGGTGAGTTTCGCAGGATTCCAGGATAGTGCTCAAGGATCTAAACCCTCTGCGATTGCAGCTTCATCAACCCGGAAACGGATAAGGTTGCCCTGCTCCTGGATTACGATGGCACCCTGGCTCCCCTCACCGAGGAGTTGTCCGTGATGCCCAAGGACACGGAGATCAACATCAAGAAACTGGCTGCCAATGATAAGATCTTCATGGTTGTCTTCTCTGGCCGCGAACTGAGTGAGATCAAGAACCACCTGAAGTTCCCCAATGTCACCTATGCCGGCAACCATGGCCTGGAGGTGGAGTATCCTTCCGGCAAGAAGTTCAAGATCGAGATGCCCGAGGAGCTGCTCGAGAAGCACAACAAACTGGTGGCCGAGCTCAAGGAGAAGGTGAGAGAAGTGATTTTATAAATGGGTTTTATTTGAGTTTTATTTGGTATAAAATAGGTGAGAAAAGGGATATTTTATTTATTTATTTGTGTGGAAGTCAAGAATACAATTCCTAATTTGCAATGATGTGAGACAGAGCGACTAAGGCCTTCAAGTTAGGGAGAAAAGGTTTATTTAAATAATAGGGTGCTGAATGATTTACAAAACAGTTGACTTAATGAATGCCCGCTTAGTTTAACGTGTAAAGTATTAATTATATTATATTTTATAAATTTTATATTATAAAAATCACAATTTTATACTGAACAGTCTCACAAAAATTGAGGAAAAAAGAAAGCTTGGTATATTAAAAAAAGGTTTAGGGGTTTTCAAAAAGCAAATAATAATAATGTTTTAGAAGAGTTTTTTATACACAAATATTTTATTTGAACCAAAAAAATAATATTTCTTATATTTAATAACTAGAAACCTTGGTTTTCTGAAACAAATATATATATAAATCTAAATGGTTTATATGAAGTGATTTTCTTTATTATACATATTTTCCTTCCTTGGAATTTATCTAAATTAGAATGTTTGTAGTTTCTGTAGATCAAAAAATACTATATTAAAAAGAATTTATATGAGACGTATTACCCATAAATTAATTTTTGAATAATATCTAGAGAGACTTCTAAGTGAATAAAATCTATTATATATTTCTAACTTATTTATTTTAACTAAAACAAACTTTCTTCCAATGAAATAATAATTCCATTTAATGTATTAATTAATTCTCTTCTAGGTCGTGTGCTCTGGTGCCTGGGTTGAGGACAAGAAAATCTCTGTGACCTATCACTACAAGGGTGTCACCGACAAACTGAAGACCAAGCTCATTGGAGAGGCCAAGGCTCTGATCCAGGCTCATGGCTTCCAGCTGATCGAGACCCCCTATGCTCTGGAGGGCAAGCCCCGTGTCAACTGGGACAAAGGTTAGTAAAACACTATAACAAAACCCAAATAGACTATTAATATAGCCATCATCGTTAAACAATTTGCCAACTGTTGCCATCCGTTTGGCGAGCTGTCGCTTTGTCCCCCCAAAGGCATCCCATTCCTTTTGAGATTTCAAATTTTCAGCACTTCGGCACCTGTTCGAAACAATTCGATTTTCGACTCGACGGTTCGATGATTTAATTATTGCCAAATTTCTTTTTTTTCTCTATATACGTACCGCCGATGGGAATTCAAACGTGGGCGTTTTTCCTTAAAAAAAAACATATATTCTTATATATTCTGGGGAAAATTTCACACACACACTCTTGCAGCATTCACAAAAATCTGACAAAATTAAAATCTCTAAAGATATATGTAAGAGATGTATATTTAAAAAATGTTTCGGTAGACAAAACAACCCGCAGGCCAAAAACTGATGTCAAAAGCGCGCCTAAAACTATATATTTTTGTCGTCGCTTATATATATTTGAACATATAGTCAGTCACTTGCCCGATTTTCCTTATGATAAATTAACAAATCTTTGTAATTTCTCAAAACGACACCAGTTTTCGCTTTCGTTTCACCAAAAATCGCAGAAATCTTGTCAAAATATTTTGCAGGAGAAAAAGTTTTTGTAGGGATTTTTTCTTTTCTTTTTTATTTTGGTAATTTTAGAATCTATAATTTTTGTAGAGATGAATGAAAGCCAAACTGAAGCGAAACGAATTTAATTTGATGACGTTTTCAACTAACGATGCATGGCTTCAAAGATATATGCGGTTGTATTTATAACATTTAGAAAGAATTTGTAAGAGAACATTTTTTTTAAGTTTGGGAGTATTTTAAAGCTTAAAAATTCATTTAAAACATTTAAAGACTTATGACATCCTGTGAAATATCGGAGTATTTTTATAGAACTTTTTATTTAAGACCCCCATTAAAATCCCCAAAAAAAATATATCATAAATATTTGAGCATTCCCGTATAGAAACCTCTCTATAAGAAATTTTTGTATTCCCTCCAGCTGAGATTTATGGCAGCCACTTGTCGCCTCTGTCCTCTAGAAATGCTCAACCATTCAACTCAAAATTGTGGCGACAACATACAAGAAAAAGATACACAGATAAAGATACAGATATATATATTCTTGTGTGAAAATCAGAAAAATTAATTATGATTGTGTACGCCTCCAAAGGCAATAAATTTGTAGCAGCCAGAACAAAATTATTGCAAAAAAGAAATTCAAAATATTTTTTGTGATTTCGGGTTTTTTTTCGAAAATATTAAACTCTCGACTCTTGGCGCATGCAAAATTAAATTAAAGAATTCTTGGTGCCGTCTGAAAAAGAAGAGTGAAAAGTGCAGTGCGATCTTCTGGGGGCTTTAAGGGGTTAAGAGGATAGTAGACCCCTGATGTCTGCTACTCATAGACTGCGTCACCAATTAAATGAAAATGTGGCGTTAATCGCTGAGCACAAAACCAAACATAATTAAAGAAATAATCAAGAGTTGAGGTAGATGTATGTTCTATGTACTGACTTTTACTGCGTACCGAGGAGCCTAAATGATTTGAAATTCATTTCTAGGCAAACATTCAGTTCATTTACTTGACCGAACCAAAAAAAAAAAAAAAACTAGAGAAGATCCGCCCACGTAGACACCTAAAAATAATTCTGGGGGATCCGGTGGAGGAGGAAAAGACTGAGGGAGGCAGCTTGGCTAGGAAAAATTCGGTCCGGTTGCAAGCGGAGCGGTTTATATGATCTAATATGTGTGCCGAGCGGAATTCTAGACATTTGAAAATATTGTTTGCCTGCCTGGCTTCTTCTCGGTTGTTTATTGAGCGATTTTGGATGAGTTCCAGCAGTGCATAGTTGTTTTTATAAAATCCACATGGCTTCCACAATAATTGGAGCAATGTTTTACGGCAGGTTGCATTGTTTCAAAAATAAATAATGTTTGTACATAAATTTCAAAGTTGAATAATATAATTAATATTAATATATTAATATAATATATATATATATATATAATATTAATTAATAATATTATAGATGCTTAAAGTCTCAGATTTCCATCTTAAATTACACAAAAATGAACAATCATTAAGCCTTAAACCTTTAATTAAAATTATTTGTTCTGAAAAACATTGAATATTAAGGTACACAAAATAATCAATTAGCTCCAAAATGTATTTGTAAACACTTGTTGAGTATTAGTCTAATTGTATATATATTTCCATTTTATCATTTGCTTTACTTATTTATGATAATGGATTCTAGAATTGGTAACCTTTTAGCTAAATCTGGCATTTATTGCATTTATTGCCGCCTGATGAAGAAAATTAACCATAAATTTATTTCCGCCTGATGAAGAAAATTAACCATAAATTTAGATAATGATCAGCATATGGTATACCATAGAGTTCGATTAAAAAATATATATATACAAATATGCTACAGAAGCCACTATATATTCAATACATATTTAAGAATAATTAGAAAGGTGTCTGAAATTATATAAACTTATATTTAAAGAATGAATATCAAAGCATAGTGGATAGAAATTAATATAGACTTAAAGATTCCGAATTATTATACTACAAAAATATCGCTCTTAATATTTTATCGAACATATCGAAAACCTTGATAAATAGATGTTTTAAATATCGAAAAATATCGTACTTACGTTTAAACAATCCATATTATATTTTGTTATATTATATACGAAATGTTTACTATCTAATAAGTGTATAATTTAAAAAAACGTCGGAAAAATATTATTTATTTTTTGTATAATACTTCTGAACCGCATTTTATGAATTTTTCCACCTTTAACTTATGTAAAAAATTAATAATAATATTTTTCCTTCCTCTCCATTCTAGGTGAGGGTGCCAAGATGATCCTGGAGAAGCAGTTCGAAGCCGATTGGGCCAAGAACCTGAAGATCATCTATGTGGGCGATGATACCACAGATGAGGATGCCATCAAGGTGCTGCATGGCATTGGCAAGACCTTCCGTGTCTCTGAGCTGCCCACGCTGAAGACCTATGCCAACTATCAGATCAAGACCGTCGAGGAGGTTGGATGGCTCCTGAAAGCCGTGCAGGCCTACTACGAGAAGAAGAAGAAGGCCTAAGCCTAAGGATCGTCAGAGGATATTAAGCTTAAGCTAAATTCCAAGCACACGCACACTCACAACAAAATCCCACTCACACACGCACACATACACACAATAATAAAAAATACAACAATTAAATCGCTTTGTAAATGTCGCATCCGTAAAATGCTCGACAATTATCTTTGGAATTCTTATTTGTGTCTTTGATTATGCCAAATAAAACATAAATACAACATTTTAAATGACTTCGTATTAGGTTCATTATTTTTAAACATTATTATACCCTTTCAGAATATTAAAATTTAAATCAGAAGTATGCAATGCAGTGAAGGAGTTATCTCCGACCATATAAAGTGTTTATATTCTTGAGGAGTAAGTAACTGGGATCAGTAAGTATCTATAACCTGTAATTAACTATAAGCAGTTAGTAACTCTGAACAGTAAGTTACTATAATCCGTACTTAACAATGATCAGGAAGAATCTATAACCAGTAATTAACTATGATCAGGAAGAATCTATGACCAAGAAGGAACTATGATCAGTAATTAGCTATAATCAGTAAGTATGAATAAACATTAAGTAACTATGAGCAGTAAGTAACTCTGATCAGTAAGTATCAATGAACATTAAGCAACTCTGAACAGTAAGTATCTATGAGCAGTAATTAACTATGATCAGGAAGAATCTCGACCAATAAGGAACTATGTTCAGTAATTACCTATAATCAGTAGGTATCAATAAACATTAAGTAACTATGAGCAGTAAGTAACTCTGATCAGTAAGTAACTCTGATCAGTAGGTATTAATGAACATTAAGCAACTGCGAACAGTAAGTATCTGAGAGCAGTAATTAACTATGATCACAAAGTATATTTGACCAGTAAGTATGTATGTATGATCAGTTACTAAATTTGAACACTAATAAACAATGACTTGCAACTTTTGTAACACAACACATTTCTGAGGCTTGGCCGGCAGAAGCCACTTCGTTCCAGGGATGTTAGAACAAGTTGAGAATCATATCATAAGCCCACATGTGCGAGATTTGTTTTGGAACAAATTTAAGAGCAAGCTATTTGAAGGAAACTATGGAGTTATTCTTCTATATTTTTTTACCATTATATAAGTCGGAACAGGGCGAATCGGTGGACTATATATATACATATATTTATATATATAGATGCCATAGGAACGATCGAAAAATTTCAAGAAAAAAATTAGAACTTTTCCAGTTTTCAATAGATTTTCATGAAATTTGATATATAGCCTTTATATAATAATCTATAAGTTTGTGTAAAATTTTATAAAAATCAGACTACTATATCATATAGCTGTCATACAAACGATCGTTATAAATAGAGGAAAATGCAAAACTGTAAATATAAAATGTATAGGTATATGAAATAAATGCTGGCAGTACTTTATTGTTTTTTAACATAAGTATGTAAAATTTATATTGTATTAATTCCTAGTGATCGAATTTCAATCTTCAAGGGTATACAAACTTCGGCGTAACGAATTTAATTTCCTTTCTTGCTTTAAATTAAATATACAATTTATGGGGCTCTTTAATTATTTATGTACATAGTTTTATTCTTAGAAAAATATAGAATTTTGTTGAACTTAAGAAAATCCCTGCAGAATGCTTGGAACCTGTTATCTAAAAATTATCTTAAATATTTTACAAATTTACGAAACCATACATAAATGTTGAGTTTGGAATATTACTTACATAATACATTTTATAAGTAATTTTATAATTCACAATTTATAAGGGTCGTAATACAACGAATAAACTGCGAACATTGTATTATCTATTTCATGTTCTGTAAAAATTATAAAGATGAAATATTGACAGCTTGAAACCCTCGGGACTCAACAATTCTGGAAATCCTCCAGCTTTTCGCACAGAAAATAATTTTTAAAAAGGTTTTAAACATAAATAAATTCAAAAATAAAAACACGTAAACTTAGCCTTTAATATTTGAACCAAGTTATTAATATTCCCACGCCTAGATTCCCTTTAAACCTATGATAATCCCCTCAATGTTTATCGCCGGTCGCCCTTGAGGCCGCCACGTCCTCCGCCTCCTCTTCCGCCGCGTGTGCCCTGCTTTCCTGCCGCCTGTGGCGTATTGGGAGGTGCACCCACTGGTGCAGTTGTTGCTGGACTCTGGGGAGTGGGTACTCCAGATGCGGCAGCAGCTACAGGTGCTCCACCACCTGCTGGCAGTCCAACTGCAACTGGTCCGCCTGTATTGGCCACCGCCTGCTGTTCCGGTCTCTTTGGCTCGCTCATGTTAAGGCCCTCATTGAAGATCATGCAGAATTCTCCGATCTTGAAGACCTCTCCGTTCTTGCCGGAATACAAAGTCAGGCAGTGCCTCCAAATGGAGGCGTAGCCTTTCGTTAGTCTTATAATGTCGCCGGGTTGTATGAGCTTTCCCGGCTCGTCCCAAATCGAGACATTTATGCAGGCCGTATGGTCGCCGACTTTGAAGTTTCGCACCTCGCGATTTTCCTTCGTCACCGTGGCCACGCCCACCTCCAGCACAATGAAGATGACATTGATGTTCTTCAGACCTGGCTTGATGTCCTTAATGGCAATGCAGTCCACGTTGTACATTATAAATGTAATTAAAAAGATTTTATGTTGATGTTTTTTGAAAATGAAAGAAAATCTGATTAACAGTGAGACCGTAGCACGACTGTTGAAATATTCCAAGCGAGGCGCAGAATAATATACCAAAAAATACTACAACACATTAGTCGGTTTAAAAATATGTTCTTGCGTTTCAATTCAAAGTTCTTAAAATAAATTAAATTTATCGGCTTCCTTATATTGTTATTTTTGCAGTAATGTATTTATTTAGTCGTATATGATATCTGCTATATATTCCTAATACCTTTCCATCAGTGTTGGTAAACACAAGAACAATCGATATATACCAAACACGTTTGGTCACTCTAATCAAAACAATAAAAAAAACAAGGAATTTTGTGTACGAAAATCTATAGGTTTTTGTTCCGCTCAAAAAATGGCCTTGGAGTCCGGCAGCAGCAGCTCCGAATCGGGCAGCTCCACCAGCAGCGGCTCCACCAGTTGCTCCGACACGGGCAGCAGCTCGGACACAGATTCCAGCAGTGCGACGCCGGAGGAAACCAAGCCATCATCCTCGAAATCTCAGACACAGGCGCAGCAACAACAAGCGAATTCCGGAAGTGCGCCGCGAAGAAAAGCCCCTCCTCCGGCAGCGGAAGATAAACCCAAACCGAGTACCAGCCGAAAAGTTCCGAATCCCCCCAGCAATAGATTATCCAGCGATGATGACGACGATGAGGAGGCACCGCCGGCCAAAAAGAACGCACGTACGCTGGGTAGCTCCACGGTGACGGCAACAGCTGCAGCATCTACGGTCCGCAGGAAACCGCCAGCGGCTGTTAACAAAACCAGCAATCCAGTAAGCAAACCGAGTAATCCGCCACAGCGATCGGGAACCGGAAATGCCAACAACCGTTCCCGCGAAAACGGCGAGGGTAAGAGACCGTCGCTTTCCTCCTCCTCGAACAGCACGGATGACTCCATGAAAATTGTAAAGAATGGCCGCAAGATTCCCGTGAAGATGGCCAGCACGGTGAGGCCAAAACAGATTCGGGGGAAACTGCCGCCGGCCAAGAAAAATGGTGGAGGAGGTAATGGACCAGCAATTAGCAGTGACGGAAGCTCGGGATCCGAGAGTGGGTCCAACTCTGGAGATGATTCCAGTTCGGTGAGTGATTCGGAGGGCACCGATTCCAGTAATTCCTACAGCTCGCAGCCAGCAAAGGGAGGAGCAGCCAAGGGTAAATATTTTATTCTCACAGATAAAGCAGATTTAAAACATTATAATTATTAATAGGTAAAAGAGCAGGTGGAGCTGCTAAAATACAAAACTCCGACAGCGAGGAGGAGCGTAAAGATAAGGCCAATCCAATGAGGAAACTCACAAGATCTCTCAGCATGCGGAGATCCAAGCAACAGCCAAAACAGGAAACTGATTCCGAGTCCGATGGCGACCTGGACGATGACAAGGTGCCAATCTCGAAGAGTCCCGCCAAAAAGCCTGTGGCAACACCCTCGAATTTGAATTCCGCTGCCAGCAAAAGCAAGGTGAAGAAGGAGTCTATAGGGATTAGCAGTGGAGTGCTTAGCTCCATCAAGTCCCGACCCGTTTCACCCATCACACAGACGGAAAAGAAGTGCCCCATCGAGGGTTGTGACTCATCAGGACACCTGAGTGGCAATTTAGATAGGCATTTCCTGCCCGAAGCCTGTCCCATCTATCACAATATGTCCGCCTCAGAGTGCAAGGAGCGAGCTAATGAGAGAAAGCTAAGGAATGAGCAAAGGCTGAAAATGCCCGTAAACATAGTGACGGCGCCGGGGAATCAGCAGCCCAATCATCTCAAGACACTGACGCCCGAGCAGCGCGAATTTCTGGCCAAGATTCGTGAATCCAGGGCCAACTTTAGGCCGGCCAATAATAATTTTCTGGACTCTAAGGTGGAAAGTCTTACTTAAAGCTAGGAAAACCAAACAAACTTTCTCATTAATTCTATTCCTTAGGTTAAGCTTGAAAAAGACTGCACGGATGAGGACCGAGAACCGAATCTGTCCGGTCTGGTGCCCGACTACGACCTGCAATTGTTTAGGGAGGCTCAGGCCCAGGCCTCTGAAAGGATAGAAGACGAGTTAAAGGATTTGCCGGTGGGCAAGGGTATCAAGTAAGTGGAACTCTCGAAAATACACAAGCTCTGAATATTAATTACATGTCTCCTCAAACCCTACTTCCAGATACATCAGCATGGGCAAGTACAAGATGAAGGTGTGGTATCAATCCCCCTATCCGGATGATGCCGCCCGCCTGCCAAAGATGTATATCTGTGAGTTTTGCCTGCGCTACCAGAAATCGGAGACGGGCATCAAAAGGCATGCGGAGAAGTGCGTCTGGCGTCATCCGCCGGGGGATGAGATCTACCGGAAGGGTAAACTGCAGGTGTGGCAGGTGGATGGGAAGCGGTATAAGCAATACTGCCAGCATCTATGCCTTCTGGCCAAGTTCTTTTTGGACCACAAGACACTCTACTACGACGTGGAGCCATTTCTGTTTTACATTATGACATTGGCCGATGTGGATGGATGTCATATTGTTGGTTACTTTAGCAAGGTAAGTGAGGGGAATCTATATATATCTAATATTATTTAAATTGTATTATATTTTCTAATTGGTTAAAAGTGATATTTTCAGATATTTAATTTGGTGTATTGCTTTTTGTGTTATATACTCTCTCATATGTGAATAATAAAAATATAAATTTCACTTTAACATTAGAACATACTGATTTGTAGTTTGGTTTCTATCATTTTAATTTTGTATTTATTGCTTTGAAACTTATATTAAATATCTAATTATTATTTAATTATTGTTAACAATGATCGTTTCTTTACTGAATGAAAGTTTTATTATTTGATTAACAATGATCTGCTTAAGAACACTTTATTATTTAAATTTTTAAGTTGGTATTAGAAATGGTTTGAACTAATAATTGATTAATTTAAAGTATTCCACAGTTATATTACAAGGTTTACAATCTGTAAAACTGTAACTTTAAAGTGTCTTCATTAAACATTAGGCCTTTAATTTATATTTATGTTTAATTTCAAGACTTCACGGAAGCCTTACAAATCGCAATAATTAAAAAATCTGTTGAGAAGATGCACAAAAATATGCTACAAAATGTTCGAGGACTAAATTAAGGTTCAGGACTCAACTATTAATATTAGTAGCATACATTTTGACAGTCTTGTTTTTAAGAATTGAAAACCCCACGGGTTTTCTACTAGCAGTTTCACTTTTAAGTTATAGTAGTCCTTTGTGCGTTTTTTAATCTTTCTTTTAAAATTCCCTAGAACTTTCCTAAATTAATAAAACAAACTTCCTTTCAGTTTGCTAAAACTTTTCAATCCCTAATTGCTTATAATTTTGACTAGTTACGTCCCCATCAGACTGAGAAAATTCGGGAAAAAATTAAATGTTGATGGTTATTTCCCGACATAAAATTGAATAATAACATTTTACAGTTTTATGATTCCTTTATGTCTGGAAATAAGGAATATAGCGTAGAAGCCAGAAACAGGAGTCGCAGCCACAACCCATGTACGGCATATATATATATATGTACGGTCTAACCAGAAGCTACTATATGCTGGTATTCAGATCCAGACAGTCGCCGCCCCGACCTGCCTTGACCATGCCCACCAAAAAACAGATGATTTTTCCTCTTTTTCCATTTTCTTTTTTGTTTTCTTCTTTTTTTTTGTCAATGATTTTTGGGTAAATAAGCAAACGAGACAGAGAGAAATAGAGAACTCTCTCTCTCCGGGAGAGAGAATCGCATTTCCCCTGGCTTTAAAAAGCAGCAGCAGCCACGGTTTCTTGACCTCCCCCGGAATACAAGGGAATATACGGGTGTCCCGGAATACACAGTCACGGGATTCGGGATTCCCCCTTAAACTCTCTTCCCTTCCAACCGTTTTGCAGTTTTACTGCAGAATGCAGAAAGTTTGCTGGGCGCTGGCAGAGACTGGGTTTGTGTTACAAATTGCGCATGTCGTTGGCTGATTCTGATTCGGAGGCTGCAGCAGCAGCAGGAGCAGGAGCAGCTCCTCCATCTCCTGGACTCTTGCTCTGTTGTTCCACTTCCTGCTACACACAGCTTTTGGCGTCTCCTTTTGTGGCACCTCCCTCCAAAATAAAAAAACTGCGACTGCAGCAGCACAATCTAGGAGCAGCATCCCCAGTCAGTCAGTCAGAATTTGGTAGTTTCTACACATACTACACATAGTACAGGGTTTTACATATATATTCATATATATATTTACTACGTTCATGCTAGGACATTCATGATTTTATGTACTTGTAAATTTAAAGTACCGTGATGTATTAAATATACTTAAGATTACCAGTTTCTTGGCTAGAAATCTATATATATTTAAAAGAAAATCTCTTAAAAGGTGTCTAAAAATATACTATAACATATTAAAGGACCAAAGTCCTTTACAATATTTCTTAGCATACTTTTTAACAGCATACTCTTAAATTCAAAAAGGATGTCTAAAAGTATGCAAATATTCAAGGACTAAAGTCCTTTTCAACATTTATTAGCATACTTTTTACCAGCAATTTTAAAATAAGCCACAAGAAATGCCTAATTGTATGCAATAAAATATTCAAGGACCGGAAATCCTTAACAAGCTTTCGTAGCATACTTTTCAACAGAAATTTCAAATAGTCTGCAATCTCTGCAGTATTCCTCTATAAATACTTTTACTTCAAAATTTATAAATTTTTTAATATCCCTCAAAATCCTAAATCCTTTTCCAAAATTCACCAAGTTATAGCTTTCGAAAAACTCCGCATAAACTCCAGTAATGCCCCCGCCCCAGCCGCCACTCTTGTGTGGCAGTGATAATTTTCGGCAATCCTTTGTCCCGCAGTTAACCTCCAAAACTCCAACTCCAGAACTGGGGACCAGACAGCAGCCAGACATCGAGGTCTAGAGAAGGGTGTCCAGATTGGCAAGCCAGGGCCAGGGCACTCTGTGCCGATGTGCTCGGATGCTGTGGACGGACACGATTGAGGTCGTGCACCTCTGGGCCCGGTCCGGGAATTGTTGCAACTGCGCCTGCTCCACAACGAGCGATTGCCCGGGACAAGAAAACCCATATGGTGGGGTGGGGTAAACAGAGAGAGAGAGAGAGAGAGAGAGAGAGAGAGAGAGCGGGATCGGGCAGGGCATGGGGGATCAGATTGGGGAACACAGGGACTCCTCTGCTATGTGGCTGGCTGGCTGGTGGCTGCGTTCCCAGACATCAAGGCAGACAAAGGAAAAGAACAACAAAAAAATGCAGGCTTACTACAAAGGATACAAATGAAGAAAACCCGCAGTGTACATAAATGTATTTCCAAATTTTTAAATAGATTTTAAATTTGTAAAACAGGATAAAGAACAGGAGGCAGACTTCTTAAAATTCCAAATCAACCTTTTTCTCAGATATTCTATCTTAAGTTGTTATTTATTTTATTGTTATGTTTCTTTTTATTAATGTTTTGAAATTTTGTGTTATAAAAATAAGAAAATGTACTAATTATCTAGAAAACAAGAATTTATTGTTATAAAATCGAAATTAACTCACAATTAATATAAAAAGGAACCAAAAAGTATGCAATGCAATATTTACCAAGGCATATCCTTTATTAATTTATTATGAAGACTATTTTTGGGCTTTAATTCGCTTGATTTTGCTTCATCCTTGATGAAGATTTCCTTTATTTTTCTTTTATATCCTTATTGAAGATTATTTCAAACTAAATTGTGTTAAATTGTTGTCTATTTTTCGATTTTAAATAAGTAGTTCTCTGGGAAATACACTTTTAAACAAGTTATTAAGCCTTTAACTATTTTATAAAAGAAAACCTCAATTTTTGTACATTTCCAAGTTTCTCAATTAATTTAGTAATACTTTGTTTCAGTTAGATTCCTTGAATTATCCTTTTTTTTCTCTTTTGACAATGACCATGAGATGCGGACAGGGACTTGGGATGGTTATATCCATGTACGAGTCAGTTCGTCTGCGATGTGCATATATATCCCGATCCCCCCATCCTGTGTACCAGCTCCAGCTTCCAACTCCGGGCTATATGCGTATGTTTATATATTTACGCACAGTCCTCTCCGCCATTGTGGCCATCCCTGTCGCTCGTCCTGTGCAGCCATCTCTGTCGCACTGTCTCTGGTCTCCGGTTGATGGTGCTGCTCCCTGTCTCTATCGATTCATTTCATTTAGCTGGTCATTGAACTGCCGAAAAAAGCCAAAAGCGACAGATGAATGTTGCCATCATCTCTTCTCCACTTCCACTTCCGAAAAGCCACCAGTTTTCCCCACTTCCTTTGTCTGGTGGAAAATGTCTGTCTGACTGATCCCCCCCCCACAGCTCTACGAATTTTCCACGTACCCCAGCCACATTTTTACCCCAACTTTGCCGTCTGCCATTGTTCTGAAGAATTTTATTTTATTTTTATTAATTTAATTTCAGTAAAATGAGAGGCCTTAACCTTTAGTTACTTTTGACTGGATTAGTGGTACTCAAAAAATTGAATAAAATATATTATATCTAGTGTAAATAATTAAAATATAATAGTCACAGTCAATTTAATAACTTTAAATATTGTTCTCTTGTCTTTTTGCAGCATATTCCCTTTTTGCAAGAGAAGAATTCGTTCTATAATGTTTCTTGTATCTTAACATTACCGCCATATCAGAGAAAAGGCTATGGAAGATTACTCATCGATTTCAGTAAGTTTAAATTCATAAATTTATATAATTAATATTTAAAGAGCGACTTATAATTAAATAAAGCAAGCATTATGGTTCTTTTATAATATCATCTTGTAAGACCTTTCCAGGGACAGCTCCAACTTTTTATATCCTAAAATTAATTTAATTAGATATACATATAAGCATATATCTATAAAAATATCATATAATTTATTAATTCATATTATATAATTAAAGCAATTTAATTAGAGATATTTATTTTTCGCATTAAATCAGAAACATTTACCTGGAATTGATTTGGTGATGCCAATGGTGTCTCTAGATTCCAAAAAAGATTTTTATATACTTGAACTATTTTAAACAAAAACTATTTGAATAATAAAATTCATAGATATTTTGAGTTTTCTCTTCTATTTTTTAATATCTTTAGGCGTTTAGGAATTTTAGGAGCACTTTTTTTGAAAGGCTGGTGACTTTTCCCTCTTATTTCTGCTTTTCTATACTATTTTTGAGTTGTCCAAGGAACCCATAAATATTTTATAAATCTAAAAAGCTTATTGTAAAATCTGCAAGTATATCTGAGGTTTCCTTCCTGACAATTAATACATATTTTAACTAATTGTCTTAATTTTCGCTACCATAAAAACCTTCAGTAAAGAATTCTGCGAACTCTTTTTATCCAATTCTTTAACTGGAACGACAGACAGAACCCTAAATTATATTATATTGGATGGAGAATCTGAAATTCCAATGAAATTGCACCTAAATGAGGCCTGTTAGTAATAGTATATTGGCCCCTTTTAAATAATTAGCCACTAAAGATTTTCTGGCTTTTATTGATTCTTACTTTTCCCGTCTTCTTAATTCCCATCTTCTTCTCCTGACTCAGACAAGTGCATGTGTGTGTGTGTGTGTCCAGGTGTGTGTGTGGAATATAATCATCATTGCATGAGAAAAACCAAACATGAAAGAGATTTTGGCTCAGCTTTCCAATTGCAGTTTTTCCCTGCTCCCCCTTCTGCTTCTTCTTCGTCTTCTTTTTCAGGTGCAGAACATGCAATTTCTGCATCAATTAAACGTAGACACACACACACACACATCGATGCAGGTGCATAAGTAATTTTTAGCTGCTGCAATGAAAATTGTTTAAAATTAATCCAGGCCCACACGAGACAAGACAATAAAAAAAAAAAAAAACAGTCACTCTCACATAAGCAAGTTTCCCCCAAAAAAAATAGCTAAGAAAAAAATTATGAAAAAAAGAAGGAATTACCCTGCAGACAAAGAGAGAGAGAGAGGGCGGGAGTGGGTGAGCAATAGGGGCAGAGAGACAAAGAGAGCGGCACTTGAGTCTTGAGTCATACATTCGGCCGCTTGAATGGCGTCGACGCCAACAGCGGCGACGGCGGCGGCTTCTATGTAAAGTCAATACATGCAACGGCAAAGGGGGCGCTTGGGAGGTGCTGAACGAACGAGCGAACGAAAGAGCGAGCGAAACGACATTGACCTTACACAGTCTCACACACACACACACACACACACATACAGACAGTGAGGCACAGAACCAAGTGCCGGCCGGCAAAAAGAGTGATGGTCAAAGTGAGACAAAGAGAGAGGGTCGCCAAAAGTGAGAGAGAGCGAACGGGGTGCACAGAAAATAATTGGTTAATTGAATCAATTATTTGTTTCATTCAAAAATCAAGGTTATTTCGATGGGTAAAGAATGTTTGTTTAACCCCTTTAAATTTATAGCTATAGTAAAAAAGAATTTTAGGGTAAATAGCAAATTACAGCTTGTACAAACTATAGACTTAAAAATACTTTACAATTGTAATCGTTAATTTTGTAAATGATCTTTTTCTCTGTGTGAGAGAACGAACCAGCGTGCAAATCATTTTCGTCATCATTAACTGGAATTGGTTATTTTGCACATGGCAGGTGGAAGGAACACTTTGCAGACAGGCGACAGGGGGGTTAACTCTACCCACCACTCCCCCGAAAATCAACCAAACCTAACCTCACACCACCCTTTGTCATTAGAGAGAGCAGGATGGCCATAGTGCATTTACGTCCAGGTGTAATAAATGCAGCACGCAAAATGCAAATGAGGGGCGAAAATTTAAAAGGGGCAAACAAGGGTGGCCAGGCCACCCTACTACATTAATTAATGCAACTTTCTAAAAAACCCACAAACAAACAAAATGTACCCAAACGTTGCCAAAAATATTCAAAACGTGCCGCTTAAAGTTTCTGCTTTTATCTTTTGGGACTCTCCCGCATTCGGAAGAAATACCCACAAAAAGGTATACAGTAGTTATTCTACAACGAGAACTGAAAATTAATAATTGTTATATGTTTGTATGAAACTTTTTAAATCTAAATATTTTTTACAACTAAAATAAAAATTAAATCAAATTAAATTAATTTAACCTTGATAAATTTAGTACTACATTTATTTTTATTTTGTTTATACTTCACAATATCAAAGCTTTGCCATAAAATTCGGGAATATAATAACTATTTATTTATTTAGGATTTTTTATACACGGCTAATAAAACAAAAATTTCATGAACATGAATTTCGAAAATAATAAAAGTCCTTTAATGGATAGACTACAATTTCCCCTTTAAATACAACATTAAAAAGTTCAATTTATAGAAGTTAGACTGTAGGTAAAATTCACCAGACACAACAACAGCTGAAGAACAACAAAAACAACAACTGTTGGCGGCAGACAACAAAGGTCAGGACAGGTCACAATGAAAGGGCGTCGTCCTCTTTGGCGAGTACAAAAGAGCGAGTTACGGTTACTCTCTTCTCTATTTGTCGCTCAGGCTCTCTCGCTACTCATTACTCAGTGCTTTCCGCCACTCTTGTAGTCGCAAAAGTACAAAATGAAAAAAAAACACACATAGAAATAATAATTAGAGCCTTGCTAATTTGAGTTAAAGTTGCAATCCTCGTTCTCTTTCCCGCACTTGTCGTAGATTTTCATTCTTTAACTCATTACTGTTCGTTCGCAGCGCCTGCGGCTATGCAACAACAATGTTGCTGCGTCAGCGGCGAATGTGCGAATCAAAATGGATCGATAAAGTCGTCTCGACGTTTCCACTCACACTCCCCCTTTTTTGGCTCGCACCCGCTGCCATGACGCACCCGCTCCTGTGGCGTCTCGCCGCTCGTGGATTTATCGCGGCGAAAAGGGATAGAGTGGAGAGGCAAAGGCAACGAGACGCGGCGAAGTGCGGCACAAAGAAATCAAAGTGCCACCCGAAAACGCCCTCTTGCGGCCAGAAGTCGCAGCAGAATCACGGGCGGGGGCATCTACTCTTTGGAATGCATTAAACAGTGCATAGTGGGGCAAATCAAAAGGTGTCTAGCTTGAAAACTTATTCTAATTGTTTTATAATTAGCAGTTGTTTTCAATATTAAGATATATTTTTCATGTAGGTTCTTACTTAACGTCAGTATTAAAATAGATCACATAATTAATATAGTTCAGAAAAATCAATTAGGTGCTTGGAGATTCAAAATGTATATATTGATATTTCTAATTATTTAATCATTTTATTTAACATTTATTACTCTTGGCCCACTGTGCTTAGCCTTGCAAAAGGAAGGCGCTGCGTTTTGCCTGTGGAAGCTTTTGCCGTCGTCTCCTGTGTGCTTGTGTGCGTTCAACCCTGCACTCGTCCAGCCAGTCAGCAGTATTCTTCCCCCTGACCCCCTTGCCATTTTGCTAATTCTCGCCTCTCTTCTCCACTCCCGCTCTCTGACAAAGCCTCCTCAGCTGTGTCTGCCATTGAGTGTGTCCTGCTCTTTGCCGGCTCTCCTCTCCCTGTCTAGTTTCTCCACAGCTGCTTCCATGGCCGGAACTATGGGATTACTTACTTTTAGTTAAGATTAAACATTGCATTTTAATTAAATCAAAAAATTTAAAATTAACTTTTTTAAATTCCATATAAAATAAAAGGCTATCTTAAATTATAGGTTTTTTCACATCCTTTAAAAATCCCTGCTTTCGGCCATGTTCAACCTCTGGTTTTAGTCCCTCTGTCTTCGGCGACTTCTCCGCTGCTGCTTCTTCTTTTGCGTCTAACGGTTTTTTCCGAGCCTGCCTCAGTGGATTTCGTGTTGTGTCCTCGTACTCTCTCGTCCTCGTCAATTTACTTAGCTTGCTCCTCAGCTCTCTTTACCCTCCTGCTCTCTGGGTTGCTGTTGTTGTTATCTAGAGACGGGAATTGTTGCTGCCAGACGGCTCTAGAATCCAGAATATCAGTTTTTTTTGGGGTGGGTCCTTCTGGGGTGACACTGGCGTTGGGTTGAATGTACGCCAGAACGTTGTTTAAATGTGGACGCCCCGATCCCCTTGAATACTTTGTGGAATCCTGTCTAGACACAACACGCACACACTTAAAGCTTCGCAGTCACACAAACTCACACACATTAACACAAGCGAAGCAGAGGGCGGGCCCAAAGTTGGTCACCATAAATAATACGCCGGAACTCGAGGAACTCCGAACTCACCTCCATCCGTAGCATACTTCTTGGGGTCTAATTTTTAACTTGTATCCTTTTTCCGCCTTCCTACTTTGCAGGCTACTTGCTGACCCGCGTGGAGGGAAAAATCGGTTCGCCAGAGAAACCATTATCCGATCTCGGGCTGATATCGTATCGTTCGTACTGGAAGGATGTCCTCTTGGATTATTTGTGCAATAGGTCGGGCAATACGCTTTGCATCAAGGATGTGTCGCAGGTGAGCTTAAACATCAGGAGTTTTTAATTTCAAATAAAATTTATATATAATTTAATTTTATTCTAGGAAATGGCCATCTATTCGTATGATATTGTAAGCACGCTGCAAGCTCTGGGCATGATGAAGTACTGGAAGGGCAAACACATAGTTCTTAAAAAGCAGGTGAGTCCTGAGATAATGTTTTTAAAAAGGACTCTTCAACTAATCCATATACGTTTCCAGGATGTCCTCGATGAGTATGAAGAGAGAGTGAAGAGGAGAGGAACCTTTCCCAAGATCGATGACTCTTGCTTGAGATGGCAACCATTTATTCCCGTTCAGCCGAGTGCATCTCCATAACAACGTGGTTGGAAGCATGCTAGAGCATGCTTTGCGGACGCCGACGACGATGACGAATCCTTGGCCCCGAATTCCTGATTTTAGAGATTTTATTTTTTGTAGTCTTCTTCCTTTAATCTAGTGAACTTGGTATATTCTGTATTTTATGTGCTGATTGCGGAGATCAGCGCCAACGGTAAAGAATGCCTTAAAACGGACCAAAATCATTGGATATATGCCAGATTGTACAATAACTTATGCAACTATTTATTTTAAAGCATTATACACTGATAGACCTAGTTTCACTACGTTTTGGAGGTACAATTCATTTATTAGAAGCTTTATTCAAATTTTTTTAATATGTGTTTGTAGAGTGTAAGATTTAAAGTACTTGTATGTGTCTGTCTCTGTGCTTGTTAGTAGTTTAAATTGTAATATTAGTAACCTAGGGCAATAGTTAAATTCTAAAAAAAAAATTGTATAAAATATAAGAAAAATATACTCGGTTTACGATCAAAAAGCCCTGTCTTGAGGTTGTGATTCTGATTATGATGAAGATGCTCTCATCTGGGAGATGAATCATGGAGAAACCAAATACCAAAAGGAGAAGAGAGGTGAGTAGAGGAGTTCTATGTGTGAGTGTTTGTGCGGCAGCAGTGCAAAAAGTGCACACACGAACACGAAGGAGTGGAGACGCAGACAGAGAGACGAGCGCATTGACATTGTCGCTTAGCCCCGAAGAGAGAGAGACAGGTAGACGGTTGTCATGGGAGAAGGTAAGGTGGTAGTGGGCACACCAGACAGGATGTCCAAGAGCGGGGGGCAGTGGGGGCCAGCCAAAAAGCATACATATGCACCGGAGACAGAGCTCCTGAGCGAGAGCAGCGCCAGCAGCAGAGAGCAACGACTGCCAAATTGCAGGCAAAGAGAGAGAGAGAGAGAGCACAGTGGTAAATAACTAAATAAATTTTGATTAAAATTCCATTAACTAACCACTCTTCCAGAGTAATACATTCTAAACTCGATACAATCCGGACGGAAGTTTTAGATAAATTGCTCCAACTTTAAATAATAAAAATATATTAGTAAAATGTAATAAAATCAAATCACAATAGCGTTTCTTTGCTCTTAAACATATTAAATATTCTACAAGACTCTAACATTACAAATCTATACCACCATAAGTGATTTAACTTAGTTTAGACTACCTTTTTTAAACATAAATAATAAAATTAAAATAAATCAATTTCAAACACTCAGCTACAAGGCCCCTGCTGCCATAGCTCAAATTCCCGTCTGAGCTCTTTATAATAATATAAATCATTTAAAATGTATAAAATTAAAATTAGTTTCAATAATGACAACAATAATAGGCAGTTTATTATTTTTGAAAGACACACATCTGAATTTTTTAGTCCTAGTTATTTAATTTTATTTTTATAAAACTTTTTTATTTATTCCACTTTCGATAAAACCTTTGTTTCAGAAGCTATTAATTTTAAATATTTTTCTTACTTTATTAATAATAACCAAAATTCTGCATTCCATTGAGCTATTTAGAAAACAATTAATCTTAGTAGATTACAACGTAATTTTTCGGTCCTTATTAATTAAATTTATTTTTAGAAAACTTGTTTTATTTATTCCTTTCGGGTTAAATCTCTATTTTGCAGAAGCTTTTAATTTAAAATATTTGTATTATTTATGAAAAGCTTTATTAATAATAAATAAATAATGCGTTCATTAAGCTATTTCAAACAAATAATTTAGTAGATTACAACGTAAGTTTCAGTCCTTATTAATTAAATTTATTTTTAGAAAACTTGTTTTATTTATTCCTTTTGGGTTAAATCTCTGTTTTGCAGAAGCTATTAATTTAAAATATTTTTATTACTCTATTAATTAATAAGGACAACAATTTTGCTTTCCATTGAGCTATTTATAAAGAAAATAATATTAGTAGATTTTACTAATAATAAACAATCAAAGGGGCGTTGTGTCCAAATCAGTGTTTTATATACATATAATCGTTTCCCACTGTACCAAGCTTTTTGTTGCAGTCTGTCTGCTGGTGGTGTAGCTTTATAACAAAGGAACTCGAATGAGCCCTGGGAAGTGGTATATACAGTGGGGATTGGCTAACCAATCATAAATAATCCTAAAAAGTTTCAATAAATTTATTATCAAGCCTTTAATCGAAAACGTGTTCCTTTGCTTGAACTTAGCATAGATCTCTATCAGAAGTTTTTTAATTCAGACCTCCCTAATTGTTATTAAACCTTAAAAAAGTTAGCTAAACCTTAAAGAGAAATTTATAGACACTTAAACTAATTTTACGATGACACGAAAAGCATTAATAAAAAAAATTGGAAACTTAATATTTCAGTTAAAATCATTATTTAAGTTTGTTCACTGCTGCGAAACCCCACTGTACCAACATATGCATTTTCCGTCTGTGTGAGTGCATGTGCATGTGGGAGAGGAAGAGGAAGCAGGAAGCAGCAGCAGCAGCAGACGCCAACGTTGGCAGCGTCAGCAGCAAAGCTACGGCGCCGGGACGACGACGTCGCTCTCTTTTGCCCGTGTGTGTTGCCATTTCTTTCGCACAGCGGCGCCGCCACGAAAGGGGGCATCGCCAGGGGGGGTCGCTGCCTCTGCCGACGTCTGCGAATAAAATTCGCGCATTTGGGCTTTTGATTCGCCGGAGACTGAAAGCGTTGAGCATTTGATCGGCAACAGCCGGCGTTCGCGGTTCTCTTTTCGTCTTCGTTCTCTTCTCACATTGCCTTTGCCACTTTTCGGTTTATCTCTGTGGGCAGGAAAATCGGCCGGGCCATATAAAATAAAAGGCCAGACAGTTTCTGGGCTTTGGCACAGTCGTTCATTCCGCACCAAATGGGAGACAACAACGTGGAGAGGAGAGCGAAGAGCAAAGAGCAATGGGCAATAAGCAATGAGCAACAAGCAACAGAAAATATTCACGAAATACGCGTGTTGTGTTCGAGTGCGTGTGTTGGTGCGTGTGTGAAGCGAAACTAAAGAAAAATGCAACGGAAGTTGTCACCGCAAAATTTAACGAGAAACAATCGCAAATAAAAAGTTGAAAACGGAACTGCAAACATATTGTGAAATTGCGAATGACTCCAGGCAAAACGAAAAAGAGAGGTGGCAAAGGCGACACATCAACGTGGTTTCTGGAGCTTCTGGGTTTTTCTACCAAAAGGAATTAAAACGAACACAAAAGAAACGGCGAAAGAAGAGCGGTTTATTTTTAGCATTTTGATATCACAAGGCAGTTTTTTTCGCTACACTACGAGAAAAAAGAGAACCGCAGAAAAAATGACGCAAATGTTTGCCCATGTGTGTGTGTGTGTCGGCGACCACATGATTCTACATATTTCCACATAACCCACACAAAGGCACAGTTTTGGGGAACTTTTTGTCGCTCAAATATTAATTTTAGATAGACTTTTTTTAACCCAGACAAAGCTCACACACAGACACGCTCTTCTTCTTTGTGTGTGTGTGTGCGAGTGATCAAATTTTTCGCAGGGGCTTCAAATTTTTTTCTCTCAGGGTTAAGGACAAGAACAACTAAAACAGCGGCTTGGCTAGAAAAAAAAACCATGTGCAGCAAGAAGAGAAAGAGAGGAGTGGAGCGCAACACCCACACACACAGACACGAGCAGACAGCAGACATGCAGTTTTTGAGGTTAGGAATGCCCCACCCAAGCAATGGCCGCTCATTTATATACTGCAAATATACATATGTATGTATATATATACACTGGGGTTATATATATGCGGCTGTCGCGCAGAAATTCGCAATTATTCACAGTCCAAAGCTGTTCGCGATCGCAGGTTTATGAGGCGTTGTAAAAAAAAATGGGAAGAGGAAAAGAAAAACCGAAAAGGCAGTTAAAAAAATACTTTTGCAAAATTTTAATACGCTTACACAGACAGCAAAGAGAATTCGCAAATGTGTTGAAGGCACGTGTGTGTCTCAGCGGTGTTTGTGCGATTTCTGCCAGTGTATGAGTGGTGATCACGCACGTATGTAGCTTCGGTTAGTAACAGAGAGCGGGAGAGCAGAGAGCCAGATAGAGCTTAAAACGCCGGTTCTTTTTTCTCGCCGTTTTTATGCTCATTTTTTGTCGTCTTTTTTGTGCCTCCTCCTCTTAGCTTTCATTTCTTCTGCTTGTTTCTTTACAGCGTTTCAAATATAGAATATCAAGGGTCTGCCAGACGAATCGCAAAAATAAAAGAAAAGGAAAGAGAATTTTTGCTGAATGAAAAATGTAATAATTCGCCGCCCGATGACGTCATGTCCTATGTGGTCATTAGCACTCCAGAGTATTCGACATTTCACGTTCTCTCTTCTCTCAAATGACTAATTTTGGCATTGTTATTTGGTGTTACCAGAATTCCATCGGAAATGGTAAAATCGAAATTGTTTATAAGGCATAAATCAAGAAGGTATCTCAATTTACTTTGCAATTGGTTGATTTTTTTGAAGTAACAATTTTTTATTTTTACGTTTTTACAGCGAAATTGACGTAAATGGATTTTATTTATTTATTTTAAACAAATTCTTTATTTTATTGTATTTAAATTTTATTTGGAAATATTGAACGATTTTGTTTGGCAACCATTTTCGTTGGTAGCCTTAGATTCTTTTAAACTTCTAAAATTGCTATTTTTGTCGCTTAAACTTTTAATTATTTAAGTTATAGTACCTTCTGGCAACACTATATGCTTATATGACTAATTTTGGCTTTGTTATTGCATAAAATCCGATGTGGCGTCGCATGAAGTCATCGAGCACAACTACCAGAGCCCGCGGAGATCGTTAACCTTAAAGCTGGAACTCACAACACAAGGCACAAGGTCGTTGTTTCCCCCCCTCACCACCTTTTGGTGTCCAGAAGGACAGGGAGGAGGGTGAGGCGGCTGTGAGGCACTGAGGCGCGGTGAGGCGTCGTCGCCATTTGCTGCAGTTTTGTTGCCAGGCGGCTGAACATCTGTCTCGGAGGAAGCCTGAAAACCTGCTGACTGGGCTTGGCTTTATACATCCACATCTACAACTTCGTCTCCAACTGCAACTTCTGGCTTATGCGG